TTTTAAAATTATTAAATATTTAAAAATTAGCTAATATTTTTTTTATAAAATTTAATTTAAAATTTTCAACACATAAATATATTTTTAAAATCAATTTCATCATGGTGGAATCAAATTATCATATCCAACCTAATAATTTAAAATTTGATAAATTTGAATTGATTTATCCAAACAAAATATTTTAAGAATGATAGAATTTGAAATCAAAATAATTCAAATACCAAGAATTTAAAATTTCTTGAATTTATAAAATTCCTCATCCAAACACACCATTCAAGTAATAGGTAATAACATTTTGACCTTACTGAATAACTCAAAACTATGAATGTAGCCTTTTATGCTATGAAATGTAAAATTTTGAAAATAATTAACAATAATAAAATCAGTTATTATTTATATAGATCTTCTTTACTTGGTTTTGTTATTAAAATTTTATTTTCCTTCATAACATGATAAGAAAAAGAAATATATATGGGAAATGGGTCGCAAAATTAAGAAATAATCAAATGGATTTAGTTAATTGCATTAATTAATGAAGATGAATAGTATGTGCTTCTAACAAATGAACTTGTACGGGAAAGAAAAGTTTATGATATGCTGCCAAACTACTCGAGTGTTTACAACTAACTAATTTTAAATGCCTTCTAATTTTATTGATTGGTTGAACCATTCTTTCGTTGTTAAACAGACAATTTATGCAGAAAAGGAAATGGTGATGGAATACCAATATCGACCACATTTTTATTATAATTATTATCAGATTGAAGTCTCATCTCTAGTTCACATCCTTATTTAAGTTGTTGCTTGCTAGTCGATGCATTGCTCTTAATGATGGGGAGCTAATTCAAATTGACACTTGTTAGTCCACATCCTTAATTGAATGTATTGTTTCAATGTCACTTTCACAGTATATATAAATAACATTATTTACCTTTTCATTCTTTAAAATTATTAAATACTAATAATTTACAAAGATTTCAGCAACTCAGTTATTAAATACTAATAATGTACAAACATTTCAGCAACTCAAATATCAAGCAGATAATATATAAAATTAAATGTATTTTTACTCTATAAAATAAGTTCAATTTACTTAAAAAAAATATTACATACAGTAATATATAAAAAGTATAACTATACTTACAATATATATATATATATATATATATATATATATATATAAATATAAATATATGCAAAAAAACAATTTTGGGAAATTTTGTGCAAAATAATCAGGATTAAAATATATGCAAAATTATAAATCATAGAAAAAAAAGCATACCATGGAAAGGAAATGTAAATAATATCGCTATTCAGTTTATTTAAGGGCCAATATGATGTAAAAAAAAATTATATTTATTTTGCTTACATAACCGTTATATTTACACTTTTTATATCTTAAAGTTTTGGTTCTAATTTATATAAATAATTTATAAAAATAAAAAAAAACTTCCTAGTATTTAGGCTAAAAGGAAGGAAAGAGGAGAGAGAGAAAAAAAATCCAAATAATTGATCAGAAAAAGAAGTATTCTCATCTAATTTTTATTTCTTTTTACACGAGTAGTCTCGTCTAATTTAAAAAATTGAAATAGAAAATCAAAGGGATTAAAAAAAATAAAGATTGCAAAAGAAGAATAAAATTCAACATTAAAAATAATAGTAACTTTTAGTTACTCAATTAACTAGCATAATTATCATCTAAATTTAACATATACATTATGAATATCTCTCAAATTGTATAATTAATAATTAGTAATGAAACAGTAATGTAACATTCATTAATATCTAAGTATATTAAAAAATATATTAAATACATACTTTTTATCCAATTCTTTATTTATTTAAGCACAAAATGTTTATTTTTATTGTTTTAGCAGAAAGTTTTGAAGAAAAAAAAAGTGACAAAAACGGTTAGCTTTACATTTTTAAAAATGATATAAATATTATAAATATATCAATTTGTTATATAAATCTACAATAATTTACGTATTAAAAAATAGTAAATATAGTATTTCATAACAAAAATTTATTATTTACATATAAAATTTAACAAATATAAAATCGTATATATTTTTGAAATATATATAATATAAATATTTTTCTTATTTACATTATAAAATATATAAATATTAAAATATCTTTTATTTTTATTCCGTTACTTTTTTATTATTATAAAATATTATTTTATTATTAATATATTACTTTTTTAATAATTAATGAGAATATTATTTAATTAATGTAAAATTCTAAAAGTAGTTTTAGATTTCTTTAAGAAAAAATTGACTAGATTTTAAAAGGAAGAGGTTTTCCTTTCACATTATTTATTTATAGATATTAGTTATAGAACAAATCAGCCTCGATTAACATAAGCGACTCTGAATTTAATAACACTGAAATTACTTTTTTATTATTGGCATAGTTTGGTACATATTTATCTATTTTTCCTAAATAATAATTTCAAAATACTTTTTCCTAAAAAACATGATATTGATTAAAAAAAACTAAATTTTAAGAGTTTATAATATAAAAATTTCAAATGTCTGTATTTTTTTATTTTAATTACCAGAAAACAGTCACTTATCAATAGAAAAAAAAATTAATATTCTCCAAAGAGTTTTTTAAATTTATATTTTTCATTTTATCTTTATACAATGTATGAGATGCTGATATGTAAAAGAGAAATAAAAATAATATCACTGCATATAATGTTAAGTTTCTGCATGACATTCGATACTGTCCAAAAACATAAGAAATTATTACTGTGAAAAAGAAGTAAAACACAATAAAATTAAAAATATCAACATCTTCATTGAAAAAAAAAGGCAGGAAATTAGTAATAATCACAATAAATATTACGACAAAGATATAATAATATATAAAATTATAATACATTTTTTCTTGGTTGTGTGGAATCGTAATATTGTTTCTCAATTGTGTTAGATATTGAAAATATTCATTTTTTTTAGCTATAATATTATTAAAAAAAAGTGTTTTATAAAATTATGTACTATTAAAAAATATTTTTCTCTACAAATATATCTTATAATATTTAAAAGCATCTTATAAAATTGTAAGCTGTTAAATTAAATTTTAGAATATGAATTATTTATATCATACAAAAATACATTTTTTTAATTGACAAATTTTATATATGAAAAATATTTAATATGATAGCTAATATTAAATTAAAAAATACTTTTATTAACAAAATATGATTAAAAAATTTATTAAATAATTTAATATTTGTATATGTTTAATGTACAATGTTAAACAGATTACAACTTTGTAAGTCAACTATCAAATAAAAAGTTTTAAATACAATCGTAATTTAATTTAGTTCAAATTTCATAATCGAGGACTTCTAAAGAAAAAATTCAAACCAAACCACATTAGAAACACCTCTTCAAACTCTCTTTGTGCAGAATTTGTTAAGGTTGTTTTCGTTTTGATTAGACTTGTTAAAATGTAATATAATGATCATTAATCTGACCTAAACTGAAAACTCCCCCAAGAATTTCATAATGTAATGTGTATGCATTGACTACATTACATGTCACTGACCATTAACCTCGTTAACCCATAATGAAACTTCCAAACAAGGCAACTCTAACAGGCAATCACTGTAAACAAACTAATAACCTATTCATTCACGACCACCTTCTATTTTCCTAAACCACATCTATTATCTTTGTCGTACTATTTCCCTATAGCATTCAATCACTCGCCACACAACCAAATGCAACACACAATTATTGAAAATAGCGATGACTTCAAAGCAAAATTCCCAGAAATAGTTTGGACCAGCATCGATGCAAAATCCTAGAACAAAAATACACCGATGCAAAGATAAATAATACGGTACAACAATCCACCGACAAAAACCACAAACAAAACTCCAGAAAAATTAAAACTACAGTAATAAAGTTTTCAGCACGAGAGATTTAGCTAAGTTCATAATAGAGTTAAAATAATAATTTAAAGCTTGTCTTCAAACTCAGAGAGAGGAGTCATCTGTTCCTTCAATCCCTTCCTCTTGCGAATGTCAGTGACAAGCTGTGCAGCCTGTGATCCAGCCTCCAAAGGATCTGAGGACATCATATCCCAGTGATCAAAGACACACTGTGGGAAAGCCTGGCCTGATGTTGCAGCCCTCAATGTGCTAGAGAATCCGAAGGACTCAATGACAGGGAGGTATGCTTTGATGTTGTAAAGTGGGGTACCTGGCCTCTGCATTTCCTCAAACACATGTCCACGTTTCTGATTCAGAACACTGTAGATACCACCAAGAGCTTGCTCAGGAGCCTGAATTTCCACCAGGTAAACAGGCTCAAGAAGCCTGGGTTTAGCAGTCAGCTGTGAAGCATAGAACACTCTCCTAGCAGTAGGGATGATCTGCCCACCACCTCTGTGGATAGCATCAGCGTGCAGCACAACATCACATACTTCAAAGCAGATGGCTCTCATGTTTTCTTCAGCCAATGCACCTTCTTTAGATGCCCATTGGAATCCAGCAACCACAGAATCCTTGATTTCATTCAAGTACTGGACTCCCTTACACATATCAACCACCATGTTGGGTCCAAGGGTCTCAGGGCCGAAGCACCAGATTTTCTTGGCAAGATCCTTGTCCCAACCAAACTCTTCAGACAAGATCTTGGATCGGACTTTGGGGTCATCCCTTGGTCCAATCTTGCCATCATCAATGGCTTCTGCAAGACCCTCCTCCAGTGGCCTAGCTTCCATGTAGAGACGGTTGTGCTTGTTGGGGGACTTACTCATCACAGTGCGGCAGGACCTCTCTAGGACAGTCTCCCTGAATGACACAACAGGGTCAGATTTAATGATCTCAGCTCCACCCATGAAATCTTCCTGCAAGTCCTTCAAACAGATCTCAAGATGAAGCTCTCCTGCACCAGCAACAATGTGTTCACCAGACTCCTCAATGGTACAAACAACCATAGGATCTGACTTGGCCAAACGTTTAAGACCTTCAACAAGCTTGGGAAGATCTGATGCAACCTTGCACTGAACAGCCACACGGACAACAGGGGAGACAGAGAACTTCATTGCACGAATAGGGTGGGCATCAACTTCCTTCTCATTTGTCAATGTAGCATTCTTGGTGATAAATTGATCCAGACCAACCATAGCAACTGTGTTACCACAAGGCACATCCTCCACGGTTTCCTGTCTCTTGCCCATCCAAATAACAGTTCTTTGAACACTTTTAACATACAAATCCTTCTTCTCCCCGGGGACATAATTTGGTCCCATAATTCTCACCTTCAAACCAGTTGAAACCCTGCCAGAGAACACTCGACCAAAAGCAAAAAACCTACCCTTATCAGATGCTGGAATCATCTTTGAGACATAGAGCATAAGAGGACCTTCAGGATCACAGTTTCTGATAGCAGCAGCATATTGATCATCAAGGGGACCCTCATACAAATTTTCCACACGATACTTCTGGGCAGTGGATGGAGAGGGAAGGTGAAATATCATCATTTCCAAGAGTGCACTACTGGCAGGGAGCCAGGTTTGCATGACACGCTTCATCAATGCTTTACCCATAAGTTCCTTCTCATCAGATTTCATGTTGACCCCAAGCTTCTGCAGCATAGGCCACAGCTTATCCTTCTGATCATTCATACAAGTGTTAATTATCTGCTTGATAGGCTCATAACAGAACTGAACAAACCCACGCTTGCAGGTAGCAGAACCAGTATTCTTGCTGGTCCATTTCTTGGTGGCTGGATCAAAGAAGTTTTCACCCCAGAGCCTGTCCATCATCTTCCCTTCATCAACTCCAAACTTAGAAGCATACATCTTGGCAAAGTTGGTCAAGGTAAAAGCCCAGCCATGCAAACCAGCAGAAAAGGCAACTGTTCCTTTCTCTGGATAGACCTGCACATCCCCAAGCAGTGGATCTTCATATGTAGCCATGATCACATTAGCATTCTCTATAACTCTTTGAAATGTCTGGTAGGCCTCCTCTCCATCCACTTGGAGTTCAAGGAAGCATCTATCCATCTTGTTGACAGTCAGAACAGGCCTAATCCTTTCTCCAAGGGCCTGTCGTAGCACAGTTTCTGTTTGAACACAGACACCTTCAACACAATCCACCACAACTAGAGCTCCATCAGTAATCCGAAGTGCAGCAGTGACCTCAGATGAGAAGTCAACATGTCCAGGGGAGTCAATGAGATTAATGAGATACTCATTCCCATTACGCTCTCCCTTATAATTCTTGAGAGCTTCATCAGTCATTTCATAGTAGAGCGAGATACCCGTAGACTTGATTGTAATACCACGTTCAGCTTCATCTGCACGGGTATCAGTCATACGGACATCACCTGCCACTTCTTGAGCAATAATACCAGCAGCAGCTACAAGAGAATCAGTGAGGGTTGATTTTCCTGCAATTTCAAAGGAAAAAAATTGTCATTGAGCCAGGAAAGTACATTATTTAATTTGGTAAAACATTGAAAAATAAATTCTGATACCCAGATAAACAATTGTATAAAATAGCATTCTTGATATCAAATATAAGCAATGGTTTTTAATACAGAAGAAACCTTTTAAAAGGCATAAAACATATTGTCAAAAAAACATCACGGATAATATCTTTATCTTATATCAGGAATCACAACAATCAGAAAAGTGAATAATTAGCAAGAACATTTAAAATCTATGTTAAACCATACCGTGATCAACATGAGCAATGACAGACATATTACGGATATTATGCTTATGGTCCATAATACGACGTAGTTCTTCAGCTGTGAACTTCACCTGCAGATACAGACACAAATCTCAATTCAGATTATAAACATTCACCCCAAGTAGATAAAAACTCATGAAATACTCTTCATTGACTTACCATTTTGACTAGTCTTTAATTTCCGCAAAAAATGAGTCAAAGCTGAAACATTAAAATTACAACTTCAGCAAAATATAACATATCATACAAGGCAGAGGAAAAATAAATGAAATATTGAGATAAAAAACAATTAACATTTATTGAGATAACTCTTGTCTAGAATAAATTGCAGAATAAAAATCAATAAAAAAAAAGTATATTATCACAAATTCAGCATTACCATAACAGATAATTCATTTAGTAGATTTGGCTCCACTAAAAGTGAGAAATTGAGTTTAGAGATAACAGTCAGATCCTTGGTTGAAATTATAATAAAAATATTTTTACAAGCATATCAATCCATGATGCTTAAATATATCCCTTCAATTTTCTCATGAAACATATAGCTCCTTAGGATTTTCCACTGAAGTAATACATTTCGTATATTTAATAAATGAAAAAAAAAATTGCTTGTTTCATAGAAAACTTCTTCAAATTTTGAAATAACAACATGAACAGCATAAAACATAAATAACATACTACAATTTAATACAAAACAATAACACACATACAAGGCTAAAACATATCATAGTTCAAGTGTGTGCGTCGAACCAGGATCTATCTCTTACAAATAGATACCAAAACAACAATACAAATAGAAAAAATAAATAAATAAACCTAAAATTCGGTATACAGATTTAGATTAACTCATATTCATATCGAAACCTCACAAAATAACAAACATCCAACCAAAACAATCAACTACACAATAAAAATAAAAATCAAATAGAAGAGACACAAGATAAAAAGCAAATCAAAGAAACCACACCGATTTATCACATAATACTGAAACTAAAACAAGTAAAATCCAATACAAGCAAAAAAAGGCACCTAATCCGAATAGGAATATTCAAGCAAAACATAGATCTGAAGTATATCAGAGTGAAGAAAACGAAACAGAAAGATCAAAAGGTACCGATCCGGTCGCAAACAGAGAGATTAAGCGTAAACGAGACACACAAATGAAGAATTTTAGGGAAAACAAACCTGAAGAGGCGAGAGAAAGTTTTAGAGAGAGGCGGCGAGGAGTGTGGTGCTGCCTTCTCTAAAGCGGCTATATAAAGCGATGTGTGTCTGTGAGAACTAGGCGTGATGATTTTAAGGGTTTTGTCGACCACGCAATGCGAAACACAATCCTAAAGTATGGGCCTTGGGCTTTCTATTGCGGGCTTGGATCTCTTAGCTCTATATGGCCCAATACTTTTACCCCTTTCAACGTGCCAATGTTATTTTAACAGGAGTCGAGATACGTCTAATAAGTTGAACTAATCAACGTGTAACAGAAACTAGGTTAAATGTGAATTTATTATTATTATTATTATTTTCATTTCGTATATAAATTTATTTAAGCTAACTAATATTTTATATTGTATAATGTAATGCATGAGATAAATATTTTTTTTATATAAATATAATTTATAGTAAATAAATATTTTAAATATATAAATAATATTACCATTAAATTTATTATAAATTAATATTTTTATATATATATATATAAATTATATTTTAAATTTTAATTTGTATTTGTATCACAATTAAAGTTATTTTTAATTGAAAATTTTTAAAATTTTAAAATTTGATATAAAATTATAAATAAAAAAACATGAATTAAAATTTATTGAGATAGAATAAAATTCTTAAAAAAAATTATTGAAATATCATATAAAAATACTTGATAAAAAATAATCTAAAAAATTATCCTCATTTAAGATAATTATTCTATTCACTCACATATATTAAATACAAATAGTTGTGTTACACAATAACTTTTTTAAGGAGACACTTTAAGTTATTTTTCAAAATATATTTTATTTATTATAGTTATTTATAATTTAAATTTTAATAATTTTAAAATAAATAAATAAATATTTTATATATTAAACGCAATAATCTTGTACGAAAGTGCATATTTTCAATTATTTTTATATTAAAAAAATATACTTGATAAAATTCATTCACAATTATTGATTATAAAATCAAAAATTAAGATTTATGAAAAAATTCAATTCTTGCAAAATAAAACTTAAATTAAATATAATATAATTGTTGATTTTTTAACCAATCATTATTATTTTATTTTATTCTCTAAAATGTAATTTCTTCATTTTTAAAGGAGTTAAATTTTATTTAAATATATAAATTATATTTTAAATTTATATAAATAGATAATTTAAATATATAAAATATATTTTAAGTTTATGATAAGTATTTTATATTGGAATAATATTATTTTTAAATATGGATAATTTATTTTAAAAATATTTAAATTTATATTATAAACAAATTTAATAAATAAAAAAATTAACTAAATATGGAATTAAACAAATCTCTAAAAATATTTTCATTGAAAAAAATCCCAAAAAATCTCCTGCAAAATAGTTGTTCATGTTTAATATGTAAAAGTAAATATATAAATATATAAATTAAATTTTATATTTATGTTATATAATTTATATTGGGACACAATTTTTTTAATTATTGATAATGATTTAAAATTATAAAAATTTAACTTATAAATAAATATGATAAATTAAATTTTAAAAAATAAAATTTAGAAGGATCTTTAAAAAACATATTTTACATAGTTGCCTTGTACACTTGGGAAGTTTGTGCTACAAGCTTCTAACTTAACTTGCTTCCCAAGCTTTTAAGTTAGAAACTTGCTCCATAAGCCTCATAAACCGTCTAGGATGGTCAAGCTAAGCTAACCATGGTTCTCTTGAACCATGGTTAGCCTAGCTTGCACCATAAGTTTCTCCCACCATATATAAACCTTTTTCTTACCTTTGTAATCACTTTTGATGATATTGATTGAGTGATATCAGAATTTGCATGAAAATTCTCTCTTTCAAAAGTCTTAAACCTTTTTGATATTCATCTAATTCTCTTTTCCTTTTCAAGAAGAGTGTGGTGAGAATTGAAGGGACTTATCTTCCTTCCAATGAGTGGCGCCTCTTGAAGGGTGTTCTTCACCAACCGTGGTGATTCCAAGGCTTCTCCTTCCATTGGAAGCCTTGGAGGAGTTTAAGAAGAATCAAGGAGCCAAAGGTCTAGGGAGGAGCTTGAAGAGGAATCAACCTCACTACGGTTTCTCTACCATGTTTCCTTCATTTGGTATCAAGAGCTAGGTCTCCTTGGTATATTCATTCTTGAGTTTTTTCTTTCAATTTTGTACGGTCTAAATCTTGTAATATTGTGTCTAAACTATTCCTACTTGTATTTCCTTTTATTGTCTTAAGTTTGTGTGCGTCGAGTTGTTCTTGTGTCACATTAATAAATCTATAGAACAAACTCACATTGTCTTACTTGTTTTTGATTCATGTTCTAAATTCTTGTGAATCAATCTTTGTGTGTGCCTTATGTATTCTTTTTATGTCTTTTTAATGTTTTAGGATTGCTTTTATCTTCCATTGGACTCCTATTATGTTCAGTCTAAAAAGAAACTCCTAAAAAGAAACAAGAATATAAGCATTTTTTATTTCTTAATCTTCTAGTTTTGTCTTAGAGTCATGTGTAGTTGTTTTGCTTGTCATTAAATCCATTGTGTGCCTTTTTATTTTTGAATCTATATGCATTAATCTTTGTTTGTGTATGGTGTCATTGTTGGCTGAATATTAATAAATCTTAGAGTGCTCATAAAATGATTCCAATGCATGTTATTAATCCTAACATGTTCTAGAGTCAATTTTTTGTGAACTTCAATTGCTATTAGTTTCTTAGCAATTTGTGGCCAGCAATTCCTTGTGATTTCTTGTGCTTGTTTTGAAAAAGAAAATAGTTAGAAGTGTATTAAAAACGAAAATTAAAGTGTACAAAAAAGAAGAACAAACTAGTACCAAAACTAGTAACATTTTGTGATTGAAATTTTTGACTAGTACACTTACACTTCTTACTCTTCTTACTCTTCTTTTCTCCACCACTTGGAAACCTCTTTATTATTGTTTGGCCTCTGTTTTTAAGTGCTCATAATTTTTATTAAAAATAAAAAGAAAAGAAAGAGACAAAAAGATAAGAAAAAGAAAAGAAAACAAAAAGAGAAAAACCTAGAAAAAGAAAAGTGAAACAAGAAACTATTAGGAGCACTTGGCCTTGAATTTTTGTGTGATTTTTCTTGAGGTTTGCTTGCTGTCCAGTGGCTGGAAAAATACTTTTAATTGCTCAAAATATTAGCACAATTTTTGTTTTGGTTTTATAATCAATTCTAGAGCCAATCCTAGGACTATTCCTTTGAGTGCTAGTGTTGAAAATAAACCCTTAATTGTTGCTTTCTGTCTTTCTTTGCTCTCTTTGGTTTTGTCGTATTACTTCCTATTAGAGTGTTGCCTATCCTAATTGTGCATTTTTAGTTTTGATTTCTTTGGCCTCTACTTTTTCTTGGTGATTGTTAAGCCTTGGTGGGAGATAACTCTTTTTCAAGCCATTACACTTGGAAGGAATGACTAATTGAGACATATTGAATCAATCTCAAAGAGGCCACCACTGGAGGAAGATTGAGGTACTAAAATACTTGAGTGATACACTTTGGAAAGGCTCACTTGTTTGTTCATTTTGCAGTCAAGAATTTTTTTTAATTTTAGTTCAAAGATTAGAGACGAATTTTGGAAGGAATTAGTGACGAATTCTTGAAGAAAACTAGTGAAGAATTTTGGAGATTAGAGACGGATTTGTGGAGACCACCTAGCTACTCTCAAATTGGTCACTAAACTTGAAGCCAAAGCTGTCCCAAACTCGGTCACCAACCTCCTTTGGTGGAATTCTTCAAGTTTCTTGAATTGTGTTGCTTTCTTGATTGTAACTCTTTAACCCTACCCTTGGGTTAACTTTTAACTTTCTTTTGTTAGAAACAAACTTACATTTAGGAGTGGTTGTTTGAGAAAACTCTTTGATTAAGTCCCACCACTTCCTAAATAGTTCCAAATAAAGATTCTTAGATCCGTTTAGTACTTGTGGAAGGGTCCCCAAAAAGCTTCAAGTGTCATTTGGGCTTCCACTAGGAGACGCCTAGTTTAATTGCTTTCATAAACCATTTGGTACTTGTGGAAGTGTTCCAAGGGATTCTAAGTGTCACTTGGACTTCCACCCTAGGACATTTCGACTAGTGTATGGTTTTATTTCTTTTCTTTTCTTTTTTTATTTTTAAGTTCGTTTAGAAGGCTTCCTATTGCCTACTAGGGGTTTCCTGCACACACACACACAACTACTTGACTTGCTTATGTGAAAAAGTTGTTTTGTAAGACAAGTATAAGGGGGTTTAGTAATTTCCACTTGAAAAGGCTTGGTTATTAAGTGGCTCCTTGTAGCTCACCTCCCTTGATAGTTCAACTTGTATACTTAGACCTCCAAGTACTTAGTCTTACACCAAAAAGAGAAAACCTTTTGTGAAAATCTTTATCACTCAATTTGCGAAATTTCTTAAGATTTGTGAAAACCTTTCTCTTGCAAAAATGAGTGATCATTCTCATGAAAGTAGTGTGCATGGTCATCATGCTCCTAGAAGTCATAGGAGTACTAAAGATGAACTTAGGGAACTTAGGGAATATATTAGAAGAAAAGAAATAGAAAATGAAAAAAATAATGAAACAATAAGAGAGTTGTTGAGTAAGCTTGTGGTGGGGGGTGAAACTAACAAACCCCATCCCAATGAGGGTCATGGGCCTTCTAGGCCCAAAAGGCATAATGATGAAGGGCCTTCTAAGCCTCATGGAGGCCAACATGAAGAAGATCAATCATGGCCCAAGAGTCACCATTCACACACTCACTTATCTTCAAGTTAAGGGTTTTATAGTAGTCACCATGATGATGGCTACTATCAAAGACCCCCTATGAAACAAAGGCCTAGGCATGACTCAAGCTCTCTAAGAGAACCTAGAGTTGACCTTCCTCCCTTCCATGGAAAAGACAATGTTGATGACTACTTAGATTGGGACATGAAGGTTGAACAACTCTTCACTTGCCACAATGTGAGTGAAGAGAGAAGGGTTCCCATGGCTACCCTAAGTTTTCAAGGGAGTGTCATGCATTGGTGGACTTCCACATATGTTATATGAATATGTCATCCTTAATGCTTTGTTTCTTGTTTTCATTGTAGGTATGTTGTCTTTGTGGAAGGACCACTAGATTTGAGGACAAATCCTTTCGAAGGGGAAGGGTATGATGGAAATCTAATCCGCAAGGATCCCTTTGAAAGAGGTAAGACCAAGAAAGGTGAAGGTTGATCCAAGAAGGCTCACACTTGAAGACCATTGGGCCTTCAACTAGGTCCATGGTTAGGAGGCTAAAGGAGGCTTCTACAGAGGAGGTGCTTCTTAGACCTATGCTCAATATGAGTATTGAGTATGATTCCTCTTTTTAGTCTCATAGTCTCTATTGTGCATTACATTGTATAGTTTGATTTCTTATACCTTGTATATAGTAGATGCTTGTATAGGTGTATTTTTGCCTTTGTATTTGTGAGGCACTTTCTTTCTTTTATTTTAGGTTATCCTTTAGGAATTTAGGGTATGTTACTTAGAGACTTTTGCTCTATTTGACCTTGTATTAAGGGTCTTTCATTTTTGTATTTTTCAGTAGGAAAAGTGGGGTGTCAAATAGCAAGGTGTGTAGGTGCAACCAGTAATTGGACCAGAATTGGGCCTAGGCCAAATTTTACGTATTGGGCTTGTTTTGCTCCATATTTTCCAAGGAATTGATTTAGCTAGGTCTCACCATCATATGGTGAACCTAACTAAACCAACTCCAAGTTTTTAGATTGGATTGAATATGGAAAAGCAAAGGAGGCCACCTAGCTTGTCTTCCTTGGCCGGATTACATAGTTGCCTTGTACACTTGGGAAGCTTGTGCTACAAGCTTCTAACTTAGCTTGCTTCCCAAGCTTCTAAGTTAGAAGCTTGCTCCACAAGCCTCCTAAACTGTCTAGGATGGTCAAGCTAAGCTAACCATGGTTCTCTTGAACCATAGTTAGCCTAGCTTGCACTATAAGTTTCTCCCACCATATATAAACCTTTTTCTTACCTTTCTAATCACTTTTGATGATATTGATTGAGTGATATAAGAATTTGCACGAAAATTATCTCTTCCAAAAGTCTTAAACTTTTTTGATATTCATCTAATTCTCTTATCCTTTTCATAGAAGAGTGTGATGAGAATTGAAGGGGGTTATCTTCCTTCCAAGGAGTGGGGCCTCTTGAAGGGTGTTCTTCACCAACCATGGTGATTTAAGGCTTCTCCTTCCATTGGAAGCCTTGGAGAAGCTTAAGAAGAATCAAGGAGCCAAAGGTCTAGGGAGGAGCTTGAAGAGGAATCAACATCAATCCGGTTTCTCTACAAAGTTTCCATCAGATAATCTATCACTTCATATTTACTCATGGAAATACTTAAAAAACAAATTCTTGGTTTCTTTAAAAATTTGACAGGTTCTTAGATTAAGCATTCATTATCATCATCAAACATAAACAAAGACACACACAAGCCTATATCTATTAGGGGTGGGCATGGATCGGTTTTTTAAAAAAACCGATCCAAACCGATCCGATCCGCTTTTAAATGGATTGGTTTAGTAGATTCCGATCCGATCCGGTTTACTGATCCGATTTTGAACCGAACCTAATTAATGGATCAGTTTCGAACCAATTTCGATCCAGATTTATGGATTAATCCATTTCCAAAATGGATCGGTTTAAAACCGATTTTTTGAAACCAGTTTTTTGAAACCGATTTTTTGAAACCGATTTTTTGAAACCATTTTTTTGAAACCAGTTTTTTAAAACAGATTTTTTGAACCAAATTTTTTTAGCCACTTTTTTGAACCAGATTTTAAGAATTACAACTCACACCATATAAGATTTTATCAAATATTTTGAGGGTTATGATAATATCATCAATAAGAACTTCTTACAATACTACTTAAATAAATTTATGTATGATGTATAAAACTATAAATAGAAAACATTAAGAATTAAGATAGCAAAATGAAGATTTAACGTAAATTTTCTTGACGAGTCTGACGATTAAGGATTCTCAGTGAATTTACAACTATCTGTTTGGCTATAAACCACCAGTCACTAGGCTAAATTTCTATTTCGCGATCCTTATCATTGAGATTTGGCGTGTTTAATTCCTTTCCACAACTCAAATAGCTCCCTTTTCATCCAAGAGATCATGATTATAGGTCCCAGAGTAGAAGGCACCTACATAAACCAACAAAAAATAATATTGTAACAAGTGAAACCAAATAGTATTTTTTTTTTCAAATCAACATACCACATTAAATACTTAAACACCTAATCACAAAATCAGGTGTACCAGAGTTTGAAAGAGTAATTTATAAATTAAATTAATTATATATTAAAACTTAAGAGTGCAACTAACAATCATCGGAATCAGAAAAAATGGATTGGTTATCGCAGTTTGAAATTCAGCAAGAAAATTAAATAAACTTAGACATGAGTCAGCTTTTATGATCCATGGAAAGGCCAATGGCCTCAAAAGAAGCAAACTTCATCATTGTGTCTGCAAGAAAGAACATTTTAACATCATTCAGGTATTATTATCTGGTATCAGGACCTTTTATAGTCAAAGTTATAAGATATAAATGAAACAAAGCTCAAACTAATTCAGCACAAGATATCAAACTTCACTAATTGCATCATTTCACAACAAACAAAAATACAATTTTAACCAGTGAATTAAACTGTAGTCATATATTGGTAAATAGAAATCACTACTAATATTCCTAATAATGTTAAAAAGGCAAATAAGCAGACAGGAATATTCAGTTTTCAAACGTGAACAGCACAACAGGAAAATGCCACACAGGCTCAAAAATCACGGGGTGTTAACAATTTTTTTGGATTGGGTTGGGTTTCATTCAAGGAACAATGGATTTAATTGAGTTGGATTGGGTTTTACCCAAACTCTATAAATAATCCATCTTCAATCATCTCCAAGTGTAATAGAGGAGGCTGAATAAGCAATGTCTAGTGGGGAAACAATTGCTGCAAAATAAAAAAAAGGTTATCAATTATTGATCAAATTATAATAAGTATATAATACAATAATGCAGTATAAAATAGATCTAGCTTATTACTTTGTTCAAATTTCTCCAACTCTTCAAAATCCCCATTTTCATTTGAAAACAATGGTAGCTATGTTCTTTTAAGCCAATCTTGTGTGCAAATAAGTGCTTCTACCATTCTAGGTGTAAGAGAACTACGATATGGATCAAGAACTCTTCCTCCAGTACTAAAGGCAGATTCAGAGGCCACTGTAGAAACAGGTATAGCAAGCAAATCTCTAACCATTTTTGAAAGAATTGGAAATCTACCCGAGTTGAGCTTCCACCAACTCAAAATATCCAAATCTACGTAATTCTCTTATAAGGCTTCCTCCAAGTATTTGCTTAATTCAGATTTGTTAGAGCTAGTTTTTTTGAAAAAAATGGTTATAACCATAAGGGTCATCACTACCTCCTTCATTGAAACGAGCTTCTTGTGAGTTAACTTCTATTTCATCTCTCCCACCATTATACTCTTGAAAAAGTAATTTCAAACTAGACTCCACTTTTTCTTTTAAACTAGATGCCACCTCACCATCAAAATTTTGATTAATCAACCAATGCATGAACTGTAATTTGTATCCTGGATGCAACACAAGAGCAATAAGTAAAAACACATTTAGACGATCAACATTGCTCCAATACTTATCATATTTCTTCTTCATATTTTCTGCCATAATGCATACATTTATATCCCTAGAATTGCACATTTGGCTGATCTTCTTTCCAATTCCAAAGACCTCAAACATGTATATATTGCTAGTTACATAAATTGAGCCAGACATGCGCAAAGTAGCATCATAAAACAATTTTAGAAATGGTAGGATTGCACGCACAAATTCCCAATCAGCATATGAAGGAACACCCTTTACCTTTTCTAACTCTTCGATATACTTCTTATCTTGCATCTCAAGCTCTTCAAAAGCCTTGTGAAGTTTTAATGCAGCCTCTAACATTAAGTAGGTAGAATTCCATCTGGTTTCCACATCCAAGCAAACAAGGCCTTTGTATTCAATATTTTGTTTCTCAACACATGTCTTGAATTTAAACAACCTAGAAGGGGAAGATCGTACATATTTTTCAGCACCCCGAATTCTCAAAATAGCATCAATGTTATCCTTGAAACCTTCTTTCACAATCAAATTCAAAATATGGGCACAATAACGCATGTGGATATAATCTCCCTTCATAACCAAACTATTCCAAGACATTAACCTTTTTTTTAGATATTGGATTCCAACATCATTTGACGAGGCGTTGTCAACTGTTAATGTAAGAACACGATTCAACCCCCATTTACTCAAGCAACGTTCAACCTTTTTAGCCATGGTCTTTCCTGTGTGACTAGTGACTTGACAAAAGTTTAACACCTTCTTTTGCAGCTTCCAATTGTTGTCAATGAAATGAGCAGTCAAGCACATATAACTCAAATTTTGAGATGAAGTCCATGTGTCTGTGGTGAGGCAAACCCTTTGATAGTTTTGAGAAATAAATTCCTTCAACTTTTCTCTTTCACTATCCCAAAGTTTATAAATATCACGTGCTAGGGTAGTACTTGACATGACATTAAGAAAGGGTGCTATAATGCTTAAAAACTCACGAAAAGATTTATGCTTGATACATCGAAATAGGAGCTCCATTGCCACAAACATTTTGACAATTGCAATTCTCAATGCTTGTTGGTCAATTTTGGGCCTAGCCAATAAAGGGGAAGAAACCATAGTTCCAGATGAGTGTGATTTTTGCTTCTTGCTCAACATTTTATTTGATATACCCTTACATCTACGTAAATTATTTCGCATAGCACTTGTTCCATTTCAAACCTAATCAATGTACCACAATGGTTACATTTAGCTCTATTATCTATGTTGGGCTTTGGCTCCTCAATAAAGTGATTCCATACATCAGATCGATTCTTACGCCCTTCAGAATCGCGAGGTGGTAACATTTGTTCAGCTAAATGTTCTATAGTGTCAGAAACAAAAGTTTCATTTAGCTCAGCCATGTAGTTGTTCTACAATAGAAAAGAAAAATAGGATGTTAATTAATTGAGATCATAGAAAGGTATTACAAATGAAATTGAATAAAACATAACTTTTACAATAGAAAAGTAATCCACATGCTCATGAAGATCATAGAAAGGTATTACAAATGAAATTGAATAAAACAAACCTTTTGTTTAGAACTTCTATGAACTTTGTGATGTGTTAGTTGATATCATATCATTTGTTTTCCATGAACTTATTTCATAATGACATGTGTTATCTATTATTAGGACTAGAATATATCTACCTATTACAATGACTCAACTGCTAAGCCTGAGTTGCACATAAAAACGAGAATGACATGCTTTTGCGTACCTTTAGATATACCATACTAAAGTTTCAATACAAATTGAGATTAAAAGAAAAACAAAATCTTTACAGGCTCAGCCATACTGGCCCAATTTTTTTTTGGATGGTCTCCAAAACTACCATTGTGTGCATATACTACTCAACTTCATTATGGAAGCATCAGGCCCAAGTCACTATTGAATATTTGAATGTAGTTTCCTTTACTCTTTGCTTTTTGTTAACATAGATCTTATACATATTTGGTTGTTTAACTGGGTTTACTTTTATGTATACAAAATAAAGCTCTGTATATCTTTTTTAATCTGAAACTCTTGTTTTCCAAATTTCAAAGAGTGGGGATCAAAATTGTACAAATACAAAATATATAAGGGAGCTAGAATTACATTTAAAATATTTTTTTAATCCTGAAACTCTTGTTATTCAAAGTTGATTTAGGCCGAATTAATTTGTTGAATTGAATATATCTAGGGACCGAGCTCTTTCAATATTTATTATTATTATTATTATTATTTTTTGTTTATATGATCCGAACTAGAACCTTGTTCATCTGTAATGAAATTGTAGGTGATCCAACTTAAATTTACTAAAAGCTGGCTGCACTCCTATATTATATAAGTACATGGTAACATAATGTGACGACTTCTAGATAAAAGCAAGTAACTAGGAGACGTATATTATTGCATGTAGGATTGGTTACTTATAGAAATTGATAAGATCCACACAACTAAAGCTAGTCATTTTAGTTAAGTGCTTAGGGCCTTATTCATACTTATAGAAACTGTATTTGCATACTGATCTTTTATTTTTAGTATGGATATAATCGACTAAAGAGATAAGCACTATCAATGAAGGAGTAAATTACTAGCTTATTTACAGAAATCAAAGAAATACAGTTGCACTAAATACTAATATTCTAAGCATAAATGGCAACAATATTAGTCATGTAGTAAATGCATGCTACAAAAAAAGGAGAGTGATTTAACCATGTAATAAACAAATGAGTAATTTGCAACAGAAGTAATCCATTAAGTAAACTAATGTTAAGTTGATAGGCACGCCCTGTATAGAAGATAGACAACTAACCCAAGGGAAAAACACATAAATCTTGTATACTTTGGCAGTATAGTAAACATATCACTGTAAAAAAGCATCAAATATAAATAGGGGCAACAGACTTGAATTTAGATTTATGAGCACAATCAAGTGAATCGCAAATGATAAGAAAAAACATATCTTCACAGCAAAATCATAAAACAAGAATCTTATTCATTATTTTTATTTTTAACAACAGCCATCAGCTGATATACAATGTCTCATTCCAATGTCAAAGAAGCAATGCTCAAGCAAAATAGTATTGGATCCACATAATTATAAATATGTGTTATTGCAGAAGTGGAAGTAATAGTGTTGTCAACTTAACAGGGGTTATAAGAATGGTAAAGAAAAACAGGAGAGCTGCCTAGTAATAGAAAGCTCACCTGTGTATCCACCACGTTTGTTCAACTTGATGCCAAACTGAAAGTACAATGCCTAGTAAACAATAAGAAGTTTACAACCAAATTAAATTGTCAAACAAAATTGGTAAATGCTAAGGCCAAAAGTCAAGCCTCTCAAACATTTTATTTTCCCTTTGATTAAAGGTTTCCTAAATTCCAACATATACAAAAGAGAGGCCAGGGCAAGGATTCGATTTACTTAAGAGACTACAAGAGTACCTGTCAGCAAATTGAACAAATCCACACCTTTTACCCACTGGAATTTTCACAGAGACAACCTCACTGAATTGCAAAATTGGTTGTCTAAGTTCCTCATCACTGATATCAGAATCAAGCCCTCCAACAAATATCTACAACAGAGACCAGTTGCTGAGATATGAACAACAGAAGATGATTAACATGTAAAAATATATCTACACATACTGAAATTCCATGATAACTTTAGCATTGGGAAATATATAATATGACATGAAATGGGCAAGGGAATAGAAACCAAGAGCAAAAGCAAGACAAATCTGCAATAAGAAACAACAAAAAAAGGTCCATTCAAGCTGAAACAACATATATGGCAAATAACCTATGAAGCAATAGCGTTTCACGTTTGGATTTTCTCAGCAACAGCGCTTCGTGTTTGGATTTTCGCAGCAATAGCGTTTTGCGTTTGTATTTTCGCAGCAATAGCTCTGTGTTTGGTTAAAATCAGGGGTTTTGGCCTTTTGGGAATTAGGGATTTAGCATCGTGGTGGAGTCGTGGACTCAGGACTGGGTAAGAGATTTGGATTGCGTAACTTGCGTTCCGTGTTTCGGTGTTTGGTTAAAATGGACTTTTAAAACTATTTTTAATCTTGTTTGGATCGGTTATTTTTTGGATCAGTTCAGTTCAGGTTTAAATGGTTCGGTTTGGTTCAGTTTTTTTGCACACCCCTAATATCTATTACAATCAATACAATATCCTTTTGAATAGGCTCAAACATCATTTCTACATTTATATCATCAAAACTAAAAATTCTTGAGGAGTCTTCTTGTATGTTGGAATTAAAAGCACAATAGCATTGAGTTGATATAATAGCACAATAGCATTGAGTTGATGTAATGTGAATCATGGGTTGTCATCATCAAAAAGGGGGAGATTGTTGAGCTTAGGAGAGCTTGAAGCTTAAAGGAGTTTTGATGATCACAACACAAGTGTACAACAACAACTTGGAGGCACATGAACAACAACAACTTGGAAGCACAAAAACAAAGTCAAAGAAAAGTCAAGAAAGTGCTATGTAATAGAGCTATATAATAGAGTTTAGAAAATAAATTGTTTTGATTGGTTTTTTATGTTATGTGTGCTGTGTGCATGTTCAAATCTATATCTAAGCTAATTAGAGAGTATATGATGATGAATTAAAAGATTGAAAAGTTATTTTGAGACTTAAAATGAAGTTTTAAGAACTAACTCAAAATAATCAATTATTGTTAAATATAATCGATTATTTTAGCAAATAAGCTAAGTGGAATGCCTTGTTGTAATAATCGATTATTTGCTAAAATAATCGATTATCCCAGGAACAACTCTCTGGAATAATCGATTATCCAGTAAAATAATCGATTATATTGTTCTTGGTTGGTTTCCAGAAAACCTGAAGAACAAAATAATCGATTATTCCTTAAAATAATCGATTATCTGGGTCTGAGACTTTTATAAATGCTTGAACTTTTTGAAACTTCACACAGAGAGTTAGAACTAATAATCAAACTGAGAAAAGTGTTTTTGTGAGTCTTTGTGACATCTTGGAGAGTTTTCTTTGTGAAATCCAAGAGTGAAAACGTTTGTGAAAAGCTTTGTTAGTAGATCATTATCATCATATTCTTGAAAGAGAAGATAAAGATTTGTTCAAGAATTCCAGGTGAATTCGTTCCTTTGTTCTTTGTGAATCTTTGTAATAATCTTGAGAAGGGTTTCTCAAGTGGTAAGGTTTCTTGTAGTGGGTTCTACAAGGGGTGCTTTCTTGGGGTCAAGAAAGTGGTTATCTTTAGAGTTGAAGTATATGCATGTGTGTGTGCTTGTAAACCTTCTTGCTTAAAGATAGTGGAACAAATCTTAATCAGGTGTTGATTAAGGACTAGATGTAGGTCACATGTGGAGTGGCTGAACCAGTATATAAAAGACTTGTGCAATCTTCTTCTACCTATTCTTTTACTTTGTGTAATTTCTTGGTTGAACATTAAGAAGATAAATCTTGATTAACAAGTGTATGTGAATATTGTTGGTTTAAATCTGAATTAGAGCATTATATTTGAACCTCGTTAATTTGTAATCAAGTGATCATATTGCATTCATATTTTCATAACAATTCTTTAGAAAAGCTTCATTTGAGAATTCAGTCATAGAAAAGTTTTAAGTGAAATAAAGATCCTAAATACTCTGATAATTTTTTAAAGGGTCATAGAATCCAATTCACCCCCTCTTGGATTGTGCCATTCTTTTCTAACAAAACATGATTGGGGATCAGATTTCTTCAAAAATTATATCACTTTCTCATACTATTGGCATCAGAATTTCTTCTCTTACTGTTGTACTATTTTCCTCCTTTCTCTTACAGTTGTATAGTCTGCCACCTTTCTTTTTAAGGGTTTTAAGTTCAAGGGCCAAAAGAAGAAGGATTATGTATCTTAGAATTAATATTTATATTGAATTTTCTAGTTGCATGATGTTTGACTCTTATTTTGTTTATAGGTCAAGCCTTCCGAAAAACTATCACATGTACAATCACTTTGTATTCATGAAATGATAGTTCGAGCTTTCAAGCATATCCTGCAGGCAATGATTGTTGTTGTTGATACAGAGAAAATGGCTACATCCATAGTTGCTACATTGAATTTGCTACTTGGTGTTCCTAAAAATAGAGAGATAGATAAATCTTGCAAAATCCACCCCCAACTATAGAAATGGCTACAGGTGTTTCTGAAGAAGCGATTTGATTGGAATCTTAGCAGCTTAAATTATAGCAGTGTGAGGAAGTTGGTGATTTTACATGGCTTATATCGTAAGGTATTGGAAGTAGGCAATAGAATCTACAATGTGTGTTGCCTTGTAGTTCACATAGCAATGGAGCCATACATTTGTATCTTATTATTTCCATTCCTAGGAGTACTGTGAGATAAGTTTTATGATTCACTATGATAATTACATGTTGATTATGATAAGAACTCAAGCACTTGGGAACCCTTCCTTAATAACTAGTTGTCAAGGGAGAAGAACCAAGTCATTTAAGTACTCTACCAAATAGTACACAATATGGGAGTTAGGTACTTCATAATGCCCAAGTCCCGATCATAGCACCACCCTTGAGAGTCGACATCCCGACAACTACACTCTATAAAGCCTTAGCTACCCTTGGGAGTTAGCGATGGAATAACACTAAGGCCGAGAAGACCAAGAGGTGATATCTTAGAAGTACTTTTAAGATCGGTAACCACAACTTTTAAGATCGGTTACAAAAGAACTAATCTTAAAAGTTGTATCAGACATAACTTTTAAGATCGGTTATTTTATGACCGATTTTAAAAGTGCTACTTTTAAAATTGGTTATTTCAGAACCGATTTTGTATGTAGTATACAAAATCGATTCTTAAATAACCGATTTTAAAAGTATCGTCAGAAACCTTTTATATTTCCCTCCAATCTCATTCTCTTTAATCTTTCTCTCCATTCGTTTTTTTACTTTCTCGCGCTCTCATTTTCTAAAGAGGTAAATTTCGTTGTCGTTTTCGTTTTCATTTTCCTCTTCTCTTGTATCTCTTTTCGTTTTCTCATGCTCTTGTCTTGTCTCTATTTTCGTTGTAGGTTTATTTTGGGTAAATTTTGAATCTGGAATGGCCCGTACTGAAAGGAGAACGGGTCATTCTAATTTATGTTTTTCAGTTAGTCCTTTTTACAATCTGGAACGGCCCGTTCTAGTTTAATTTTTTTCCTTAACCAGCACTTTTAAGATCGGTTATAAAACAACCGATCTTAAAAGTTTACTTTTAAAATCGGTTATTTAATCCATTTTAAAAGTTTAACTTTTAAAACCGACTCTCTTAACCGATTTTAAAAGTTAAAAATAACCGATTTTAAAAGCCTTTTTTCCACTAGTGAATCGACTTCATAATGTGTGTAATTCATCTCGTGTTGTTGGTGGAGTATAGTTAGAGCTTCAATCATTGCGTTTCTGCATGACTTTCATGTGTTGTAGTAATTCAACATTGAATGGTGGAATAGGTGGGTTCATGGTGGTGGTTGTCACCATAGGCTCCATGAGCGAGGTTATGGTGGCCATAAAGGCAAGAGGCTATTGTTCAAGGATAGAACCTGCATTGTTGTTTGTTGTGGAGATCCTTACTATGTTGTTGTTCATCGTCTAGTTTTGGGTGGAAACCATGTGTGGTCGAAAGATAGTTTTACTTTGGCCCCATAGTGGATGTCAAATGTTCTTAATGGAATTTGCAAGTGCTCCTATGATCGGATGTCATCCTCATTGCTCTAATATCCACAATGATGGGGGCACTTGCAAAGATACTATAATGCTCAAGTTAGAGAGAAATTTAGGTTAAGAATAAGATTGACATACAATGATACTTGATGTCCCATATATAGGTGGCTTAGTAGTGATGCATGATTTTAGGAGATAATCTAGTATGATATTTGTGGATACGCTCCTAACTTTGTGTGTGGTGCTTAATGGCAAAGATATCACCTTTACGGTGTCACTCTTCAATGTGTCATGGGATTCGTGGAGATATAATGCGGAGATTATCCTTTAACCGATGTTTAGGTGAAATTCAGGGTTTAGTGCGATAAATTCAACTCAGTGGAGTTATGTTAACGAGGAGCTTGACTTGATTGAGTTGGACGGTATAATTAAAAAATACTAAGTTGAATACATAAAATGAACAATTTATTGTACAATATAAAATTAAATCATCAAACTAAAATAAAGAAAAAGTCAAAAAATTTAAATTGTAAATTACATAAAATTATAGGATTTCTAATTTTGTTTTTTTAAATTTAATTTTGTTAATATTTTATAAAATAAAAAAACATATAAAAACCCTTATTCATGTAGAGTAAACTCATACTATTTTAAATATTTTTGTACTTATCAAGTTATTAAAATTAATTTATTATACTATATATATATTATATTATATTATGCACATACTTTTGAGATTGAAAATTAAATTGAAATTAAAAAATAAAATAGAATTTGTTTGGGTGAAAAAATAAGAATGACAAAAGTATATAAATTTCTCTTCACTTGAATAAATAAAAAAGAGTGAGTGAAAATCAATAAATATTTACATAAAAATATTTATATTA